CATGTCTCCTCTCAGCCTTCTCTTCTTCAGGCTAAACATGCCCAGCTCTTTAAGTCGCTCCTCATATGGCTTGTTCTCCAGGTACTTGATCATTTTAGTTGCCCTCCTCTGGACACATTCCAGCTTGTCAACATCTCCCTTCTGGAATGCGTCCAGAGGAGGACAACCAAAATGAATAACGTTTATAACTCAGGAACAGAAAGGGCATTATATAGGGTTGTAGGAGACATATATTTGAAAGAGCAAAAGCAGTGAAGGAGGGGTGCAGTGAGCATAGCAGCCTCCAGGTGGCGCTGCTGCAAAAGACATCATTGAGAAAGGGATCAGAGCGAAAATGAAAGTCCCAAGTCTTTTATTTTGCAGAGCTAGAAACTCTCTCCATTGCAAAGACTCGGAAGGAGCACTGAAGAAAATCCTGGAAGAAAGGGCAAAGGAAAGACAGATTTACTTCTAATGCTAATACGTTTTCTTTCTAAAGAAAAGATCATAATTTTAAAACCGACTGGAGTTACACTCCAGCAAAGGATCACCGCCTTGTCGGGGCGCTGGAGCTTGAGCACCTCAATGATGTCATGAGCGAAACCGTGAAGGGACACCCAAGACGGGACGGTTGTGGCAGAGAGGTCAGACCAAGCGTGATCCCTGGGGAAGGCAATGGCAAACCACTCCAGTATCCTTGCCAAGAAAACTAAATGGACCAGTACAACCAGAGATATGTCGGTATGCTATTGGAAGATGGGACTCCCAGGTCAGAAGATGGCCAAAATGCTACTGGGGAGGAGCAGAGGATAAGTTCAACTAGCCCCAGATGTGATGACGCAGCTAGCTCAAAGCCGAAAGGAAGGCTAGCGGCCGACGGTACTGGAGGTGAACGACGAATCCGATGCTCTAAAGATCAACACACCATAGGAACCTGGAATGTAAGATCTATGAGCCAGGGCAAATTGGATGTTGTTATTGGTGAGATGTCAAGACTAAAGATAGACATTCTGGGGGTCAGCGAACTGAAATGGACTGGAATGGGCCACTTCACATCAGATGACCACCAGATCTACTACTGCGGACGAGAGGAACATCGAAGAAATGGAGTAGCCTTCTTAATTAATAACAAATTCGCTAAAGCGGTGCTTGGATACAACCCAAAAAATGACAGAATGATCTCAATTCGAGTGCAAGGAAAGCCTTTCAACATTACAGTGATCCAAATATATGCCCCAACCACAGCTGCTGAAGAAGCAGAAGTAGATCAGTTCTATGAGGATCTGCAGGACCTACTGGATAATACACCAAAAAGAGACATTATTTTCATTACAGGAGACTGGAATGCCAAGGTGGGAAGTCAAATGACAACTGGGATCACAGGCAAGCATGGTCTGGGAGAACAAAATGAAGCGGGACGCAGGCTGATAGAATTTTGCCAGGAAAACTCGCTGTGTATAACGAATACTCTCTTCAAACAACCTAAAAGACGGCTTTACACATGGACCTCACCAGACGGTCAACACCGAAATCAGATTGACTACATCCTTTGCAGCCAAAGGTGGCGGACATCCATCCAGTCGGTGAAAACAAGACCTGGGGCTGACTGTAAATCAGATCCCAAACTTCTTATTGCTCAATTTAGAATAAAACTAAAGAGATCAAGAAAAACACAGAAACCAGTTAGATATGATCTCACTAACATTTCTAGCGAATATACAGTGGAAGTGAAGAACAGATTTGAAGGACTAGATTTAGTAAACAGAGTCCCAGAAGAACTATGGACAGAAGTCCGAGACATTGTTCAGGAGGCGGCAACAAAGTACGTCCCAAAGGAGGCAAAATGGTTGTCTGCTGTGACACTGGAAGTAGCCCAAGAAAGAAGGAAAGCAAAAGTAAAACAGGGATAAGGGGAGATATGCCCAGTTAAATGCGCAATTCCAGAAGTTAGCCAGAAGAGATAAGGAACTATTTTTAAATAAGCAATGCATGGAGGTGGAAAAAGACAACAGAATTGGAAGGACAAGAGACCTCTTCCAGAAAATAAGAAACACTGGAGGTAAATTTCAGGCAAAAATTGGCATAAGAAACAAAGATGGCAGGGACCTAACAGAAACTGAAGAGATCAAGAGAAGGTGGCGAGACTATACAGAAGATCTGTATAGGAAGGATAATAATATTGAGGATAGTTTTGACGGTGTGGTGAATGAATTAGAACCAGACATCCTGAGGAGTGAGGTTGAATGGGCCTTAAGAAGCATTGCTAACAACAAGGCAACAGGAGACGACGGGATCCCAGCTGAACTGTTTAAAATCTTAAAAGATGATGCTGTCAAGGTGATGCATGCCATTTGCCAGCAAATATGGAAAACACAAGAATGGCCATCAGACTGGAAAAATCAACTTATATCCCCATACCAAAAAAGGGAAATGCGAAAGACTACTCAAACTTCCGTACAGTGGCCCTTATTTCTCATGCCAGTAAGGTAATGCTCAAGATCCTGCAAGGAAGACTCCAGCAATACATGGAGCGAGAGTTGCCAGATGTTCAAGCTGGGTTTAGAAAAGGCAGAGGAACGAGAGACCATATTGCCAATATCCGCTGGATAATGGAGAAAGGCAAGGAGTTTCAGAAAAACATCTACTTCTGCTTCATTGACTATTCTAAAGCCTTTGACTGTGTGGATCATAATAAATTGTGGCAAGTTCTTGGTGGGATGGGCATCCCAAGCCACCTTGTCTCTCTCCTGAGGAATCTGTACAAGGACCAAGTAGCAACAGTAAGAACTGACCACGGAACAACAGACTGGTTCAAGATTGGGAAAGGCGTACGGCAAGCCTGCATACTCTCACCCAACCTTTTTAACTTGTATGCAGAACACATCATGCGATGTGCGGGCTTGATGAATGCAAAGCTGGGGTGAAAATTGCTGGAAGAAACATTAACAACCTCAGATATGCAGATGATACTACTTTGATGGCTGAAAGTGAGGAGGAACTGAGGAGCCTTCTAGTCAAGGTGAAAGGAGAAAGTGCAAAAGATGGGTTGCACCTAAACATCCAAAAACCCAAGATGATGGCAACCAGAGAGACTGAGAGCTGCCAAATAGAGGGAGAAAATGTGGAGGCAGTGGCAGACTTTGTATTTCAAGGTGCAAAGATTACTGCAGATGCAGACTGGCCAGGAAATCAGAAGACGCTTACTTCTTGGGAGGAGAGCAATGTCCATCTCGATAAAATAGTAAAGAGTAGAGACATCAGACTGGCAACAAAGATCCGTCTAGTCAAAGCCATGGTATTCCCTGTAGTAACCTACGGATGTGAGAGCTGGACCTTAGGGAAGGCTGAGCAAAGGAAGATAGATGCTTTTGAACTGTGGTGTTGGAGGAAAGTTCTGAGAGTGCTTTGGTCTGCGAGAAGATCCAACCGGTCCATACTTCAGGAAATAAAGCCCGACTGCTCATTGGAGGGAAGGATAGTAGAGCCAAGATGAAGTATTTCGGACACATAATGAAAAGACATGGAGAAGACAATTATGCTGGGGAAAAGTGGAAGGCAAAAGGAAGAGGGGCCGACCAAGGGCAAGATGGATGGATGGCATCCTTGAAGTGACTGGACTGACCTTGAAGGAGCTGGGGGTGGTGACGGCCGACAGGGAGCTCTGGCGTGGGCTGGTCCATGAGGTCACGAAGAGTCGGAGACGACTGAACGAATGAACAACAACATGAAGACATTAGGGTGGCTCAAGATTTTCTGCAGTAAAAAAAATCAAAATGCACTCGCACTTTCCAAAACATATAATAATAATAATAATAATAATAATAATAATAATAATAATAATGCTGTGGCTCACAAATGGAACTTTGAGCCCAAGAACAAGCCATTACAACAAATGCCATCAAAGCCAGAATTGAGAAGTCAAGGAAGCAGATGAAACCATTGATCATATCTTCAGCTGCTGCAAGAAGATTGCGCAGACAGACTACAAGCAGAGGCATAAAACCGTTGCTCAGATGATTCATTGGAACTTGTGCCACAAATACCATCTGCCTGTGACAAAGAACTGGTGGGATCACAGACCGGAAAATAGTTATAGAAAATGAACATGCCAAACGCTTCTGGAACTTCCGAATTCAGACAGAGTTTTGGAGCACAATACTCCTGACCTCATGATCGTGTTAAAAAACAAAGTATGGATTGTCAATGTTGCAATCCCAGGTGACAGCAGGATTTAAGAGAAACAACTGGAAAAATTGACACGATATGAGGATTTAAAGATCGAACTGCATAGACTCTGGCACAGGCCAGTCAAGGTGGTCCCAGTGGTGATCGGCACACTGGATGCAGTGCCTAAAGACCTTGGCCTGCACTTTAACACAATCTGTGCTGACGAAATTAGCAGCTGCAGAAGGCCACCTTACTGGGATCTGCACACATTATTCGCCGATACATCACACAGTCCTAGACACTTGGGAAGTGTCCAACGTGTGATCCAATACAACAGCTAGCAGAGTGATCTTGTCTGCTGTGGACTCATCTTGTTGTGTTTCTAATAATAATAATAATAATAATAATAATAATAATAATAATAATAATGTGTTTTGGTAAGTGCAAATAATATAATAATATAATATTATTTCTTACTCGCCTCTCTTCATGGCTCGAGGCGGGTTACAAAAAAATTAAAATGCATAAACACAGCAAAAACACTACAAATACACACACTAAAACTTGCCTCCATAAAAGTTACATACTAAAAGAAAAATATTGTTTCCAACCAATCTTGCAAGGCTGCAATCTTGCTGCCATGCAGGAATGTAAGGATTGAACTATAATAGAACTCTCATGGCAAAGCAAAGATAAGAAAAACCCTGCCTTTCTCCCATTGATTCCTATGAGCTGTCACTCTCCTTTCTCACCAAAGGAAGCATGGATTTCTCCAAAGTGGACCCGGAAATGTGTCGTGGGCGCGTCACTCTATGGTGACGCTATGTTTTCTTCGCTGTCTGATCCTGCGCGACACACCGCTCTAGCCCGCTGTCTCCCTACTCCAAAGTTCGGATTCTTCCGCGGGAGTGACGCCATCAGGGTGCGCGCCGCTTGCCAGTATTTGCCCACGTGTTTGGGGTGAAGACAGCTGCGATGGGGCTGGTGCTAAGGCAAGGGCTGCCCAGGTAAATTTCCAGGGGGAAAAAGGGGTTGGGGAGTGGAATGACAGCTTGACCTCACTGTAAATCCCAGGATTCTATAGCCTTGAGCCCTGGCACTCAAAGTGGGTTCGAACTGCATTAGTTCTGTAGTGTAGATACATCCTAAGAGTGTGGAAAGTTCACCTTTTTCTCTTTCCCCCCTTCATTGTCCTGAACTCTTCTCCTGCAGCCAAGCTAAAGAAATGCTCATGGAAGGATTGAAGAATCGGTGTTTCCAATTTCATAGAATCATAGTTAGAAGAGACATCATGGGCCATCCAGTCCAACCCCCTGCCAAGAAGCAGGAAAATCACATTCAAAGCACCCCCGACAAATGGCCATCCAGCCTCTGTTTGAAAGTTTCCAAAGAAGGAGCCTCCTCCACACTCCGGGGCAGAGAGTTCCACTGCTGAACAGCTCTCACAGTCAGGAAGTTCTTCCTCATGTTCTAATGGAATCTCCTCTCTTGTAGTTTGAAGCCATTGTTCCACATCCTAGTCTCCAGGGCAGCGGAAAACAAGCTTGCTCCCTTCTCCCTGTGACTTCCTCTCACATATTTATACATGGCTATCATCATGTCTCCTCTCAGCCTTCTCTTCTTCAGGCTAAACATGCCCAGCTCTTTAAGCCGCTCCTCATAGGGCTTATTCTCCAGACCCTGGATCATTTTAGTTGCCCTTCTCTGGACACATTCCAGCTTGTCAATATCTCTCTTCAATTGCGGTGCCCAGAATTGGACACAATATTCCAGGTGTGATCTAACCAAGGCAGAATAGAGGGGTAGCATGACTTCCCTGGATCTAGATACTATTTGGTGGTTTCATTGTGCTTAGTGAGTGCCCTGATATTATGAGGCTAAATAATAATAATAATAATAATAATAATAATCTCTATTTATATCCCGCCACCATCTCCCCAGAGGGGACTCTGGGCGGCTTACATGATGCCAAGCCCGGTAATACATAACAACAAAATAAATACAGAACAGCAAAAATAACATCACAATAAAATAAGTAGAACATAAGAATAAAAAAAACAGGGCAAAATACAAAGTGAAAAACCAAACACAGTGGGCGGGCCAAATGTACGATATAAAATGATAAAACTCTGGGTGAGATAGCAATGAAAAAGCTATATTTGTAAGGGAAAAGGTTTTGGGGGGTGGAACAGTGGAGTCAGGCCTTAAAAAAGGTGGGGGAAGTGCAAATATGAGGACATCATTATGGGAGAAACAACAGGAAAGAAATATAGGGTCACTCTCCAAAGGCATATCGGAAGAGCCAAGTTTTTAAATCATAGAATCAAGGAAGAGACCTCGTGAGCCATCCAGTTTAACCACCTGCCAAGAAGCTGGAAAATCGCATTCCGAGCACCCCCGACAGCCCCTGGTTAAAAGGTGGAAGGTGTCCAGAGGAGGGCAACTAAAAAGATCAAAGGTCTGGAGACCATGAAGTCCTATGAGAATAATAATAATAATAGTTTATTTATACCCTCTACCATCTCTCTGAAGGGACTCGGGGCGGCTAACATGGGGCCAAGCCCAAGCGAAATTATAATGAAGAAAAAACATATAAACAAAGCAATAACATCAAATAAAATACTTAATGATAACATAGTAAAATAGCAATAACAAAATCATAATAAAAACAAAAGATAAAATGGTAATAGAATTAGACAAAGAGAGCGAGGCCAATGACTAAGGTGAAAAGAAATTGATAAAACCCATAGGTGAGATAGGTAGAAGTGCTATGATTTATGAGGGGGCTCAGATGGAATAACAGTGGAATAAACATCAACTGAGAGATAAGGTGAAGAACATCAGGTAGACAAGTTGGACTAGGGACGGGGCATGGCATGGAAATTGGTAGTTCAGTCCCCAAAGGCACACCAGGAAAGCTAGGTTTTGAAACTTTTTCTAAAGGCTGTCCGGGTATGTGCCTGTCTGGGGAGTGTGTTCCAGAGCCATGGGGGCCACCACGGAGAAGGCCCTCCCCCTCGTCCCCACAAGCCGCGTCTTTGACGTAGGCAGGAGCGAGAGGAGGGCCTCCCCCGAAGATTGAAGAGAAGCGTCCTAAAGAGCTGGGAATGTTTAGCCTGAAGAAGAAAAGGTTGAGATGAGACATGACAGCCATGCATAAATATATGAAAGGACATAATAAGGAAGTGGGAGCAGGTTTGTTTTCTGCTGCCCTGAAAACTAGGACTCAGAAGAATGGGTTCAAATTACAGGGAAGAAGATTCAACCTGAAAATTAGGTAGAAGTTCCTGACTGTCAGAGCTCTTCCATGACAGAAATTTTGCCTTGGAGTGTGGTGGAATCTCCTTCCTTGCAAGCTTTTAAACATGGCCATCTGTCATGGGTGCTTTGCAAGGCAGGGGGCTGGACTAGTTGGCCAATATGGTCTTTTCCAACTCTTATTCTGTGACAATCTTTCACATCTTTAAACAGAAGAGGTTTGCCACTGCCATTGTCTGTGAATCTGAACAAATCTTGCCAAGAAAACCCTGTGATTTGTTCCCCTTAGGATCACCATAAGTTAGAAACAACTTGAAGGCACACAGCAACAACAACAACAAGGGAAGCTTGAGTGAGAAAGGGTTAGGCCAGTGGTTCTCAACCTGGGGTCCCCAGATGCTTTTGGCTTACAACTCCCAGAAATCCCAGCCAGTTTACCAGCTGTTAGGATTTCTGGGAGTTGAAGGCCAAAAACATCTGGGGACCCCAGGTTGAGGACCACTGGGTTAGGCCATTCTCATTTTAAGAGCTCAGGGATCATGTAATTTACAATTAAAAATAATTCCTCAAGTATGCTTTCACTTTGCTAACATATGCCTGTTTCCCCTTTATGTCCTGAGCTATAGCCTTTTCATGAGGCAGTCTGACTTGTATAAAGTCATGTTAAGGTGACCCAAGTCAAATTGAATAATAGGCCATTGTCTGAATGTTATCAAGAGTGATCTGATGACCAGGTTTTTTTTTCTAAGCAGTTAGGAGCTGTATCCTTCTTAGTGGCCTGCTTCCCACTCAACTGGAAATAACTTTAGAGTCTATTTATGGGCCCCCTGGTGCTGCAGCAGGTTAAACCGCTGAGCTGCTGACCGAAAGGGGGATGAGCTTCCACTGTTAGGACCAGCTTTTGTCAACCTAGCAGTTTGAAAACATACAGCTGTGAGTAGGTCAATAGGTACTGCTTCTGGTGGAAGGTAACGGCGCTCCATGTAGTCATGCCGGCCACATGACCTTGGAGGTGTCTACGGACAATGCCGGCTCTTTGGCTAAGAAATGGAGATGAGCACCAGCCCCCAGAGTCGGGCACAACTGGACTTAATGTCAGGGGAAATCTATACCTATTTATGGGCCCATTATGCAGGTTCACTTATCTTAAGATGTGGGGAAAGTATAATATAAAAGAAGTAATGTCCATGCTTTGGAGAAAGTTTGTTCAAGTTTCCTGTTTTAATTTCACATAAGATTTTTATAGAAAGTTGAAGATTGCATTAGAATATAATTTATAAATCGAACCATTGAGTTACTATTTTTAAAAATAATTTTGACACTTTCAGGACTTTTCATACAGCTGGTCATTGAGGTGGGGAGTAGGGAAAATAGAAATGTCTAGAAATCATTTTGGATAGATACTAAATTCATAGGTTCTGTTGCACCTCAGCAGGAGTTCACCTTGCTCACAGCACTCACCAAGAAACCAAACATGGTAATAAAGAATTTATTGATAAAAACACATATAAAAAGGGCCAAAGGCACCTTTAGCAAATGGAAGGGTAAAAATCCAAGAGTTAATAAAGAAAGCAAGTCTCAAAGGCAATAGGTAAATCAAGAAAACAATGGTTAAAACATGAATATGAATCCAGGAAACAAGAGGCAAAACATGGGCATGAATCCAAAGGTAAATCCAGAAAACAAGGAGCAAAACTTGCGCGGGAATGTTGGGTCTTGAACTAAAGGCATGCACTACGAACGAGACGGGAGTTCGTCATTCCAGTAGCGACATTGCTTGATCTAAAATCCTAACAGCTCTCTCACTAATTTAGGGACTGCAAAACATCAACACATTCCTTTGACCTTGAGAGGCCTGCTTTTGCCTCTCTCACAGATTTTCCTGCACCTGAATCTTCCTCCTCAGAAGCAGCCTGGTATCTCTGTCTAAGCCAGCTTCTCCCTCGGATGAGCTAATGTTTTCCTCCTCTCCCTGCCTGTTGGATTCCAAAACAGTTCCACTTTCGCACTCTGTCTCAGCAAACGCATCTTGCTCTGAAACCCCTTCCATTCCCTCATCTACAAAACTATCATTTTGCTCCAAAACCCCCTCTGTTTGCTCACCTACAGAACCATCAGGCCCCGAACCCCCAAACCCCTTATCTTCATCTGTCTGAACCACAATAGGTTCTTTAATTAGTGCAGATTTACAAAATGAAGCCTGCAAACTTGAAGAATCATTTTGAGATAGCATGTTGAAAAATCTGTTATGAGGTTAAATCATACCCACTGAATCCCAGAAGTTTAGATAAGTGTTGCCTTCCCTGTGTTTTAATATTTTAATGCTTGACTTCTCTGTATTGTAATATTTTAATGCTTTAATATTTTAATGTATATAATTTTGTTGTTTATTTAATGTTAATTTGTTGTGTACTGTGATTGTTTGTTGCTGTTGACATCTAATGGTTGCCAGTTGTAAGCCACCCTGAGTCCCCCCCTTGGGGGTTGAGAAGGATGGGATGTAAATGTTTGATATAAATAAATAAATGAACTACTCTATGTAACTAATCCAGGCATTTCTAACCTTGTATTTTTTATATGTTTTGGGCTATAATACCCCATAATCTATGGCCAGGGGGCTGTGGTGGCGCAGCGAGCTAAACTGCTAAGGTGCAGAACTTGCCGACTGGAAGTTTGGTGGTTCGGATCCATGGGATGGGCTGAGCTCCCATTGTTAGCACCAGCTTCTGCCACCCTAGCAGTTTGAAAACATGCAAATGTGGGTAGATCAATAGGTACTGCTTTGGCAAGAAGATAAGCCGCATCGAGTCCTTCGGGAGATGCTAGCGGGGTACAAATAAAGTTAATAAATAAATAAATAAATAAACAAACAATAATAATAAATAACAGCACTCTATGCAGTCATGTTGACCACATGACCTAGGAGGCGTCTATGGACAACACTGGCTCTTCGGCTTAGAAATGGAGATGAGCACTACCCCCCAGGGTCTGACATGACTGGACATAATGTCAAGGGGAAACCTTTGCTTAATCTATGACAATTGCCCAGATTAGCCTGACCTTTTAAGTGTTATAGGAAAACATCTAGAGGACACCAAACCAGGATGTCTGTGACTTTTGTGTTGTAAATTGCACATGTAGCTAAAGTAGGAAAACAGCTTTGGAAGTATAAAATTAAAGAAAATATATTAGACATACTGAAACATAGGCTGTGTGTGTCTAGGAACAAGTTGGGCAAAAACCTGGAAATTGCTTGAAATGTTTACCTTGGCTGTGGCAGAGATATGGTTGACCTTGATTTTCTTCTTTTCAGGCTGAAGTCATTCAACAGGCTGCAGGTTATAATACAGCACTTAGTGAGTATAAAGGTCTCCTTTGTGTTGGATGGGTTGGCATTATGATAGCAAAACAAAGAATGGTGCACTTTATTCTGCAAAGCAAAGTGTTTTGAGGCTTTGCTTTTCCATCAGAAGCCTGAACTAAAACCACTTTTGAAACTAAAGGGGGCCTTGAAAGTAATTTATGTCATGATGAGTTATTATTATTATTATTGTTATGTTTGTTTATACCCCACTTTTCTCTCCAACAAGGAGTCTCAAAGCAATTTACATTAAAAGCCTTTCAGTATAGTTTAAAATCTACAAATATATAAACATTAACATAGAATTAAATGTGCTTGGTATTAAAAATTTTTTAATTAAAGACCATAAAAACTAAAAACCACAAAATCTTAAAAATTGCTGTTTGAATGGGATAAGGGCTCTATGGGTGTGCACAAGGATCCTAGACATGCACAGGACTGGGGAACTGTGACCCTCTAGATTTTGTTTAACCACATGTCCCATTATCCCTCAATATTGGCTGCGGCTGATGGGAGGTGCAGTCCAACAACATCTGGAAAGTTGCATGATTCTTACCCCTGTTCTGGAGAACAGCATGCATCCTCTATGAACCAACTTGCCCTTGGCAGTGTTATCTTACCAATCCTAATTGTGGTTGTTTTTGTTCCATGCAGAGTATGTCTGGGACTGCGGATTCTTCACCTGATGTTCTGCTTGAGAAAAAAGGGTGTGCTGGTGTTATAACCATGAATAGACCCAAGGCTCTGAATGCATTAACTCTTTCCATGATTCGACAGATATATCCACAACTGAAGGTTGGTAATTCGATTTAAATGGCCAGTCCAATCCCTATATTTCCAGAGAATGGGGTAGCAAAGGACTCAGGAACTGTGGCAAAAACTGAGGCCCCTCCTATACTGCCCTTTATCCCAGGATTTGATCCCAGATTATCTGGCAGTGTAGACTAGTATAATCCAGTTCAAAGCAGATAATCTGGGACCAAATCCTGGGATATAGGGCAGTGTAGATACAGCCTCAGTGGGAATTAGTACCTCAACATTGTTTAATCTGGACCTAACCCAGTCTGCAAGTTCTTTTCTCCTTCTCTCAGAGTCTGCCTCTTTGCAGAAGAAAGGAGAGTGAGACTCCTTTTACACCTAGAATGAGCAAAATGTGGTTCTTGAATCACATGTGACACGTAGCACCCTAGGCATCACCGTCAAACCCCTCAAATCTCTCAGGGCCCTTCCACACAGTGCTATATCCCAGAATATCAAAGCAGAAAATCCCACATTATCTGAGTGTGGACTTAGATAACCCAGTTCAAAGCAGATATTGTGGGATTTTCTGCCTTGATATTCTGAGACATAGGGCTGTGTGGAAGGGCCCTCAGATCCTCCCATTTATTTTTTTGAAAATTGCCTTGGGGATTTTTTCACCCTCCTAACTACCAGTCCACAGCCCATCATCAAATGCAGCAGATTCTTCTTTCAAGAGGGCAAAAAATAGGCATAATGATGCACTGCACCCAATCAGAGTAGCCCACTGGTTCGGTGCAGAATTAGGAATGTTTTATTTTTCTTTACACTGTGCAGGTTCCTTTCCTGCTTCCAGGTGGTAGTTAGAGGCTTGGCTAGCTACTTGAAAGCCAGTTATATGTTCTTTGCTCTTTTTTCTTCCTTCTTGATGCCTGGAACTCCAATTCACAACCAAAGTGCACTTTTGTTTGGGCTTTGATTTCTGACGCCAGCACTTCTTATAGTCTTTTATGTTCGTTTTTAGCCAACATGTATTCTAAGCAGTTTTTACTGTTTGCAATTTTTATCCAACTGGATGCTCTTAATCCCATTACCTGTATAACTTGTATGCTACAGTGTAATAAGGGTCTTTGGACCATAATAAAAATGTTGATGTTGGATTTCTGACATTAGCCATTGGAAGGCTACTCACAGTTGTAGCAGTTATAGCATTTCAAATCGATACCCCTTGATTACTCTTTCCACTTGAATATTGATAGCAAAAAATGTGGACCGACTTTTGGAAATTCAGGGCCCTTCCACACAGCCATATAACCCAGAATATCAAGGAAGAAAATCCCACAATATCTGCTTTGAACTGGGATATCTGAGTCCACACTGCTACATATTCCAGTTCAAAGCAGAAAATGTGGGATTTTATTCAGCTGTGTGGAAGGGGCCTCATTGAACCTGAGTTGGAATCTAAATTCTGTCTAGAATACCTGATCTGTCTCCAGGTGTTTTTGGATTTCAACTCCCAGAGATCCACCCAGCTTACCAGCTTTAGGAATGGTGGGAACTGAAGTTCAAAACATCTGGAGGTTCAAAGGTTGAGAACCACTGGCACTCTAGCCAAGGAAAAGAATACATAACATGATTTTTGTTCGTGGGCTATAAATGTCATTTTCTAATTGGTTCTATCATAAAAACATGGAAAATGTTTATTAAACTGCAAAAACTTTCTTTTTGCAGGACATCCTGCAACACATTTTACTATAGTTTTTCAATGAACATCTCACAGAGTCTCAACCAATTTAACTTAACCTAAATTTTTGGAGTATAATAACTGCTTTTCAATTAAACAGGAAAGAGCACTTTCAAACCAGGACAGATTTCTTTTTCAAATTTTGTTGCATAGTGAAATCAGTGAGTCAGGCCCTTTCCACATAGCTGAATAAAATATCACATTATCTGTTTTGAATCAGAATATATGGCAGTGTGGACTCATATCCCAGTTCAAAGCAGATATTGTGGGATTTTCTGCCTTGATATTCTGGGTTATATGGCTCTGTGGATGGGTCCTATGATAAGGTAGTGCTTCAGGTCAATTCATCAATGTTTTATGATTCCAGGGCTGTCGGACCAAGATCATTTTCTGGTGGTGGGGGGTGGTGTGGTGGGGGTGGTGGAGCGATTGCATATTGCTGATCTTCTGAAATAAAAGTTTTTCTTTATTTTGTTTTTTTAGAAATGGGAACAGGATCCCGACACCTTTCTAATTATCATAAAGGGTGCTGGAGATAAAGCTTTCTGTGCAGGGGGTGATATCAGAGGTGAGGATTTGAGTGTCACAGAGCTAAGAATCCAACATTTTTTCAGTTTGGTGGTGCCATCTCATATCAGAAATAAGCACTCACATTAGTCTTATGCTTTGAGGGTTAAATAAGGTTGTGAAGTCTGTTGGAAAGTGGGGTTTATGAGTGGAACGTCCAGGGTGGGAAAAAGAACTCTTGTCTGCTTGAGGCAAGTGTGAATGTTCCAATTGGCCAGCTTGATTAGCATTTAATATTAATAACAGTTTATTTATACCCCACCACCATCTCCCAGAGGGACTCGGGGTGGTTCTCAAAGCACTCAAATTGCAAACATGCAATATTCAAAAATGCAAATACAACAGCACAAAGCAACCAACAACCAGTATAATAGCCCTGCAGCTTCAAAGCCTGGCTGCTTCCTGCCTCGGGATCCTTTGTTGGGAGGTGTTAGCCGGCTCTGATTGTTTCATATGAGGAATTCCCCTGTTTTCTGAGTGTTACTCTTTATTTATTGTTCTGATTTTAGAGATTTTTTTTAAAATACTGGTAACCAGATTTTGTTCATTTTCATGGCTTCCTCCTTTCTGTTGAAATTGTCCACATGCTTGTGAATTTCAATGGCTTCTCTGTGTAGTCTGACATGGTGGTTGTTAGAGTTTCCCAGCATTTCTGTTCTCAAATAATATGCTGTGTCCAGATTGGTTCATCAGGTGCCCTGCTATGGCTGACTTCTCTGGCTGAAGTAGTCTGCAGTACCTTTCATGTTCCTTGTTTTGTGTTTGCTGCATTTGGGGATCCCTATGTAGACTTGTGCACAACTGCATGGTATGTGGTGTGCAGAAGTGAGAGGATCCTTGTCATTTGCTGAACGTTGGATTTTCAGATCTTGCCAAGAAAACCCTGTGATTCATTCGCTTTAGGGTAACCTTACATGAGAAATGAGTTGAAGACACACAATAACAACAAACTGGCCCAGAGTTGAGGCTTATTTTGTTTTCTTGGCTATGTTGTGCTGTTTATCATGTTTATTGCAGAGTCAACATCCTTAGTATTTCAGGCATTCCAGTGACCAATTTTGATACTTTTTTTTTGTTGCAAGCTATCTTTGAATCAAGGAAAAGTGGAGACAGTGTTGCACAAGATTTCTTCAGAGAAGAATACGTCCTGAACAATGCAATTGGTATGTATGCCAGTCCATTGAAGTGCAGGTCACTAGTGTAGCATTTAACTGATTTAATCTGATGCTTTTTATTGATATTTTTTGATTTTTAAAAATGTGTTCTGGTTTTTTATTGCTCTGCTTGTGTCTTATTTTATTGTTAGCAGTTTTTTTTAGAGTTTTGTTAAGCTAAGTGTGTTTTTGGAAAAAAAAACAACCACCAACAAAACTTTTGTTTAGAGTGTATACCAAAATACTTATGATGGTGCACATCTATATGTCTATATCAGAAACTATACAAATATTAACATATTTTCCCATTAATATTGATATAGGCATTAAAAGACATATAAAATACTCCCTCTGGAATTCAGAATGGAATGATTACCTGTGGGAAATCTCACTTGAAAAAAAATTGTTGTGTTATACAAATTTACAAGGTCATTTTGTGCTTTGCATTATTTTAAACACAAATGTATTACTGTATTTATGACAGGTACCTGCAAGAAACCATATGTGGCACTTATTGGTGGAATTACAATGGGCGGTGTAAGTAGAAATGTATTTTTAATACATTGGATTGACATATTTCATTTAGTTTGAGAAGTTTCAGTGGATCAACTTTACTGGTTTCAGGAGCTCCTTCTACACTGCCATATAATCCAGTTCAAATCAGATAATCTGGATATTGAATAGTTGCCACATGTAAAACTTCCTTGAGTCTCCTTTCGGGTAGAGAAAGGCTACAAATAGAGTAAATAAATAAATAAATAAATATTGTATTGCAGTGTAGAAGGGCCCAAAGAGTGATGTTTGACATGTGTTAATAAAATTGACTGTTTTAGTGTTTCTGATATGCTCACAAATGTACTATTCATTGAGGCACATTTTGTCTGACAAGCACTTTACGTGTACATTTTCATAAAGCTCTTTACTTGTTTTGTGGAAAGGAAAGCATACTTTGGCAGAGGTGAATTTCCAGATAGATGCAGAGAAAGGAAGTCATGTTTGTCCTGGAAGGACAGAAATGCTTAGCAGAGAGGGATTCCAAGGCAAGGGGAAGTTTTGAGGCAGACACCAAAGGTTGAATGGCTGGAGGGAGAAGATGAGACAGTATATTATGCCCTGCAAAGCAGACACCTAAGGAAAAGGTAGGTACAAGAGAGTCCTGAGGAAAAGTAAGAGTAAGAAAATGCCACAACAAAGTGAAGGGCTATGAGCAAGAGAGTCAGCAGGGCTGACAAGCGTAAACACAGTAAAACTGCATTTTCTGAGTGGAGCACAGAGAGAGAAAGAACACTAGGTGTCGCTTGTCCTAATAGTGCAACACTGCCCAGCTCCTATAAAGTTCTTGGCTTCTGTGGAATTGCATGTGTCATCTCTGTAAAAGTCTTTTCCCTGTGTGTGTGTGTATACACATACATACTGTATATATTCTCCTACTAACCGTTGGACACCATCATATACTTAATCTCTGTGCAGGCACCAAATGTTCTCAATTTGCAACAAAAAAAGAAAATCCTTTTGTAGTGCCTCTTCTAACAGACCCAATTCCACCACTTGTTATCAGTGTCTTTCCACTTCTTGTGATTCTGTCATGTTGTTAATTAACACTGTGTGAGCTAGAACTAAAGGTAAAGGTTTCCCGTTACATTAAGCCTAGTTGTGTCTAAATCAGGAGGGTGGTGCTCTTCTCCATTTCTAAGCTGAAGAGCCGGCGTTGTCCGTAGACGCCTCTTAATTCATGTGGCCGGCATTACTGCATTAGTTCTGTTACCTTCCCACTGAAGTGGTACCTACTGATCTTCTCAGATTTGCATGTTTGTGAACTGCTAGGTTGGCAGAAGTTGAGGCCAAGAAAAGGAGCTCACCCCACTCCCTGGATTTGAAACACCAACCTTTCAGTCAGCAAGTTCAGCTCAGCGGTTTAACCCGCTGCACCACCTGGGAGCTATAACTACTTAGTGTAAATTAACAAGAGACTCGTTTTAATCCACTTGGTTTGATAAAACTATTATTACTATGTTTATTTATACCCTGCTTTTTCTCTCTACCAGGAGATTCAAAGGGGCTTACATTAAAAACATTTCCATACAATTTAAAATATACAAACATTGAAACAGAATTAAATATCATTGGTATTTTAAAAAGTGAAAATTCATAAAAACATATTCAAAACGATGAATTCGTTGCAGAGTGACTAGACCCTTATCTGACAAAAAGAGCAAAAGAAGGGGGAACTCATTGGAATGCTTCCACTCATCCGTGTCTAGCAGGAGTAAGTTGAGTTTCCTACAATGTTCTAGGCTTCATGTTGCTACAAGACATGGCTGAAACTGGTTTGTTGATCTTTGCCACTCTGCATCTGTCGTGGCTCTCCTTAGGTTTGGTTTGAGAGAGACTGAAAAGACTGTGATTCCAAATATACTGTATATCAATATATCTCACAATTTCTGACGCTTTAAGGTGTTCCCAGTCTTTTCTGTAGTTAGTTGTCATAGAATCATAGAGTTGGAAGAGACCACATGGGCCATCTAGTCCAACCACGTCTGCCATGCAGGAAAAGTACAAAGAACCTCCCGCAGATGGCAATCCAGCCTCTGTTTAAAAGTCTCCAAAGAAGGATTCTCAAGTAAAAAATAAGCAGAGTGTTTGAGCATTATTGTTGCAGTAGGTAGTGAATAAAAACCAAAATTGCTTATCAACCAAGGTACTCGATACTTAAAGGTCTTGCACATGCAGAGTGCGTTGTGGAAAATTGCAACCGAATCTTGTTTTATTTTATTGAGTATTTAATGAGTTCTGCAGATGTTTCCTTGTTTAAACTATCTGTCTTTAAATGAGATATACCAGAAGGGAACTGAGGTACAAAGATGGAAACATCTGCCAAGATAAAATACCGCGGGGTAGGCCAGGATGAAAAGCAGAACGCCTCCACTTATGGCAACCAGTAGGGCTTCTGGGGAACATTTTATTAATTTCCAAGCCATTGAATTCACGTAGAAGGGGGAAATGGAAGATTAAATGAATTATCTTATAGAGGCCTAGTACAGCCTTATGTACAGAAACTCAGTAAATGTTTACAGAGTTGTTTAGTATATGTTTTGCCATTGGTTTGCCACAGAGTCATTAGTTTATGCTACAGTTTTATAAGCAAAGAATGGACCTCAGACAAAGCTCTGCAAGTAGGAGATGGGATGTTTAAGAATGTTTTCTCCAAAAAATGCAAATGCTGACTATTCAGAAATCATAGACAAACAGAGCTGGAAGAGATCAAAAAGGCCACCCAATCCAACACTATTCTTTTGTGCAGGAACACTCAATCAAAGCACTTCTAATAGATGACTGCCCTTTTTTTTCTTAAAAAAAAAACCTGAGATGTCATTCCTAATATTTCTTTTTTGGTAGTTTTTTTGGTAGTTTTAACTCATTCCTCTGTATCTTAGGCCCCATCTACACAGCTCTAAAACATGGGTTGCAAGGTATGGGGTGGTGATGTGGGGGCCTTCCAAAATCCCGAGGGTCAGTCTGCACAGCCATTCCACCTCTTTGGCCTCTGGTAGTAGTGCTACCCTCCCCACCCCCTTTTTCACCCTAAAATTTACCTTAGAAGTTTGTAAACAGAGGCAGTTCCCTGGAAGAAAGGATTTCCCTAGTGTCATTTCGATGTGACAGGAGTTTTCTACCAGAAGTCCGCTTCCGATTGCAGGTCTCTAAGGTACGTTTTGTGGAGAAATGGGGAGCGAGGGACCGGCAGTGATAGACCAGGGTTGATTTCGGATAGTGGGGTTTGGCCCACCCATTTGTCCTCCAACTCAAGTGAAACTGGCATTTAAAATACCAGTCTCAGTCTAGTTTACGACCTATGCATAAGTGGTCCTTTGACATTATCTCACGAGCAGGAGGAAAGGAGGGGGAAAGCAGAGGAAAGCAATGCAAAACGTCCTTAATAAGAGGAGACACAACTTACCCTAGTAAGATCAGTTTTTGGGGATGGCTGGGAGTGCATTCATCATCAGTGTGAATGAACATGGGCCTGTATTATTGAAGGCTTTCATGGCCGGAATCACTGGGTTGATGTAGATTTTTTAGACTTTATGGCCATGTTCTAGAAGCATTCTCTCCTGATGTTTCGCCTGCATCTATGGCAGGCATCAGACCTCACAACCTCTGAGAATGCCTGCCATAAATGCAGGCGAAACATCAGGAGAGAATGCTTCTAGAACATGGCCATACAGCTTAAAAAACTACAACAACCCAACATGGGCCTGGTTTGAAGATCCAGTTGTTAACCATGTGTTCTTTTCCTCCCCGTCCCATGGCCTTGGAGGATAGCATTGTGTTCTTTCCTTTCCCTTAAGAATAGTTGTGATTGCTCCAAAGAGCACTTTAAGGCACTTTGCACCCAGAAAGTGCTTGCTAAGTGTTACAGCAAAGACAGCTTATTAATGTATTCAGAGCTGAGTGACATCCAATTAGCAAAGTTCTTCTTTGTGCATTTGTTGTCTGGCTAAGTGAATTCACACCCCCTCCAGCTATGAGGCGAGTGCAGTAAGCAATTGTTGTGATAATGACGCACGGGTGAAGGTAGCAGCTTCGCTTTGGATGAGCACTTAGCTGAATGTTCCTGCTTTTTGTAATCATCTATTGGCAGCGCAGAATTGTAATTCTAACAATTCATTTGTCATCTGTTCATTTCAGTAAACAGCCACCGACACGCAGGATACCATTTCACAGCCATTAGTTATTGTTTTTGATGCTGTTTGTGCTTCACCATTTGCGCAGGAAGTGGGCGTTTGAAAGTCATGATGAGCAAAGGTGGATTTTGCAGGTCACTTCGAAGACTAGGATCTTCCGGTGAGGCCCTGCTCTCGGTCCTGCCACCATCACAGGCATCTGATTTTAATGTGGATATAAGTGATTTTAATGTTTGTATATATTTATGGTTTTATATCCCAGCATTGAATGTTTGCGGGATGAGAAGGGCAGAATATAAATGTTTTAAAGAAAGAGAGAAATGTAAAGTAAATATTTTAACCGCATGCACTTTTTTCTGCAGAGTTTTCAAGAAAGTTGTCAGTTGAAGTACTGTACTGTTGAAGTTGCCCCTGAATTGCACGGACACTGGTCATAGTAAAGTTCAGATGCGAGCATGCCAAACCTAGAAGTAAAATATTAGGAACATAGGAAGGTGTCTTACAGGAAGCCTGCCCATTCATTGGTCCAACTAATTCAGTATTGTCTCATATAGGAGAAGAAACTATGTTTCTCCAGTTGTTTTGACAAAACCATTTCCATCGACCCATCCCTAATGGTCAGTTTGTAAGGGAGTGCAGGAATTGGTAAACATTGACTGACAGTAGCACTCTCTGGTTAGGAGACTTTGTCAGTCCTATTTGGAAATGTCAAAGCATGCATTCAGGACTTCCTTGCCAGCAAAGCACATGACATCCCCCCAGGTTTTGGCCTAGTACTTGATATTGTGTGTGCTTTGATTTATGCCGCTTAGTGACATCTTTAATAGGAAAGTCTGATATCATTTTAAGCAG